AAGGGAAGGCAAGGGAAGGCAAGGGAAGGCAAGGGAAGGCAAGGGAAGGGAAGGGAAGGGAGGGGAACGGGGAAATCCCTTCCATCTTGAATTATTCTTGAACCTTATCACAGAAGAGAGGCTTCATTCCAGTTCTGATTCCCAAGCTAACCACAACGCTGCTCCTAGGAATACCAGGAATAATGTCTGTTCCCTGTAAAAAAGAGCATCTCCCACTGCTCCTCGGTGAGAGGACCAGCGCTCCGGAGACGGCTGCGGCAGGAGGTGGGAGGGAAGCGCATTCCTGGCGGGCTCCTTCCCCGCTCCCTGCAGCGCCCGGCACTGCCGGGGCGATTCCGAACACCCCGCCGGATCCCAGCGACTGCTGATGAGGAGCTGCCCACGCCAGAGCGCCTTCCTACTTAGCCCTTGCTGGGCTCTTTTCTCCTATGCGCCTGTCCGGGTGCTCCGAACTCCCGTGCGCTGCTGGCACCGGGCTCTGCATCCCTGCACCGGCGGCACCGGCTCCGCGTCCCCGCATTCCCGAGCCTCCCGCAGCAGCGGAGCTCGGCCTCCGCGCCCCCTCATCCCCGAGCCTCCCGCAGCAGCGGAGCTCGGCACCGCTCTGCTCTGTGAGCACCTTCTCATTGAACTGCCTTGCTGTGCTGTTTCGTTCTCTTGGTTTAATCTTTCACTACCTGTTTCTGCTGTGATAGCAAAATAAGAAGCAAAGGATGCAGACCAGTCCTTCTTTTTTTTCTATATTTCCCACATATATATGTATATAACATATTGTAAATGCAGTTGTACTAAGTAAACTCAAGTTCCCTCTCTCAAACCTGACTACGTTCTCTTGGTTTAATCTTGCACTACCTGTTTCTGCTGTGATGGCAAAATAAGAAGCAAAGGATGTAGATCAGTCCTTCTTTTTTTCTCTATTTCCCACAAATATATGTATATAACATATTGTAAATGCAGTTGTACTAAGTAAACTCAAGTTCCCTCTCAAACCTGACTTACAGTGTATTCCCTCTATAGCTGGTATCATCCCATGCTATCTGAGCTCCAGTGTGTGCAACCTTGATCAAGAATTATTAATAAAGTACAAGTATTATTCTATCTATAATTTAACGCTACACCAATTCATCTACAAAATGCAGCCTTCAGCGTGTAAAGAAAGCCCTCAGTGATGCTTCAATGTTTGCAGATTTCAGGTAAAACCTCTCTCCTAACCCAGAGGATCATCGGTCTATAGATAAGCACGAGGCTGATGGTTACCGGGTTTCATTTTGTGTCTGCACAGGACACGGTTCTGCTCAGAGCATCCCTGAGGTTAGAACCAGGGCAACCATTAACCTCCTAGGAGCTGCCTTAAAACCCGGCGTCTTGATTAAGAGCTGAATTTACGAGCGCCCCGATCCCGGGGGAAGGGGCCGCTGCATTAGCCCTGCACGGCAGCGCCGAGGACGCGGGTCTGGGCGAAGGGCTCCGGGTCCCCCCTCCGTGACCCCGGGAAGCACCAGCTGGTTTTAACCTGCTGAAATGGACGGCAGTGATTCCATTAGGGATCATTTAAAACACCGCTCGCTAAAAGCACGGCTTTGTTCCTTCTATCTCCACGCCTACCCACTGCACTGTTGACACTTAACCGTTTGTGGTAAATATGCTCATTTTTTACCTTTATAACTATTTGTGGTAAATACGCCCTTTTTTTTTTTACCTTTACCATAACATTTGCCTGTTGCTAAATGCTGTTTCCCATTCCCGGGGCCAGGGCAGCCCACGAGAAGGGCAGTTTGCACGAGGGATCCGACCAACCCTGCGGCACTGGCAGCTCCGCAGGGCTCGAAGGCTCCAGCAGAGCAGCTCTCTGCTCGTCTGCGCTCCGATGACGCAGGGTATCGGCCAAGAGGAAACGCTGCCCCGTCAAACCGGAGCCTCCCCAGGGCAGCACGACCGCGGGGAACGTCCCTGTTCTAACACTTAGCTACGGGATCCTCTCTGTTGGATCTCAGCCCAAAAACACGAACGGGCCACCTGGATCCCTCCTGGGTAGGCAGGCACGAAGCCGGTAGCTCCAGCTAACCCTAACAGGAGGACAAGGAAACCAAGTGCACTTCCAAGAGAGGTGAAGAGCAGCAGATGCTGCGGTGGCTGGTGCTGCACCAAGGTTAAATCACAGCTCCCGCGAGCCTGGAATCCTGCTTCCAAACGGGAAGGCGCTGGGAGCCCGTCCCGCGTCCCTGCAGCGGATGCAGGAGAAGGCGCCGGCGCGGCGGGCGCGGCGCCGCGGCCGCAGCAACGTGTCACCAAGCAGCAACGTGTCACCGAGGCGCCACCAGCCCTCCCTGTCCTGCAGAACCGTCTGCACGGGGCGCGCGCGGGGAGGGATCCAGCAGGTACCGCCACCACCCTGCAGCGTCTCCGGCGTTTCCAGCGTCTGACGTTGCAGCAGATGGCACGGCAGCTACCTTGGAAGCCTGACAGAAATTCTCTTTTCGATCAGGCTCCTCACTGCAATAGATTTATTTTCTTCAGATTTTTGTCGTCGTGTTTCTCTTGGTCTACTTGCTTTGTAACAAGTCAATTAAAAGGTTAATTACCTTCGTCTCAAGGAATTTCTGGCTGCAAAGACGAAATGCTTTGACCTCTTTGCCACAAGTCCCTGGAAATCTTAATTGGCTCTTATTTGTGGGGGATGCTGCAATATTCAAATATCCAGTGTATATCTTCACCAAAAAAAAATCAAGCCAAAACAACCAACCCCTGCTTATTTTTCATCCAGTTCTTTGCTGTTCTTATGGTTTTTATGATGAAGTCAGCTGTATGAGCCTGTCATGGTGGGTGTAAAATGACAGCTCAAGAAGGGCTACTAAAACAAATCAATTGCAACCCAATTTCTGCTCCTTGGCTGTTTTCTATTTTAGCTGCTCTGGAATTCCAAACAAATTAACTGGCATCTCAGACCCACTGCTTTGGGTGGGCCTTGGAAAGGGAACCCTTGAGCCGCAGTCGCTGTCCCTGCTCCCGGGGACCGTCCTCGTTCGGTGCAATCCAGCCGGGGCCGCAGGACGTTCTCCTGCTCCTGCGCTCACTGCAGGGCCCTGTTTGCACCGTTGCTGCAAACCCTGCGCCGCATGCAGGTCCCCGTGCCCTGCTCTGGGCTCTCCGGGACACACCAGGAGCTCTGCCCTGTGCTCCTGAAGGAGGCAGAACTGAATCAACCCACAGATTTCCACCCTCCTCCTCACAGACCTCTGCATACTGCTACCCTTGAGAGCATACACAGGCAAAAAGGGGCGCGTTACAGGCACATACTTCATTTTTAATGTGTACTTTTACAGTTTTGTGATCTCTTATTGAGTTTGGAGATTAGTTGATTCAATAGCTCCCTTTTAATATGATTTCCAGCTCCTTGTAGCTTGATTATACTTTGAGTAACTTCTGCTTAGAAACATAGAGGATTTGGCAGGTACTTTAGGTGCTGCTGGCCAAGGTATGCTGCTTTACTCCCTCCTTGCAGCCCGTGGGCACCCGTGCAGGATCCCTGTGCTTCCTAAGACGGCTTCTAAAGCGCATCAACCACACGTGGAAGTGTCTCCTCCTCTGTGTTCACTACAGGGATCAGACCGAGATCTCTGCAGTGTTGACACAAGAGCTGGGTGAGGCGAACCGCATCCTCCACGTTCTACTGACACCTTTAACTTCAATGAGGAAACGCACTTGTCACTTCTGCTCCAGGCCTGGGGTCGGTCCTGTGGGGACCCCAGCTCCTCTCCTCTCTGCACAGCAACAGGATTGCAACATGAACGACGGATTAATGACCGCATTTACTTCCAATGCTGCATCTTCACATCTGCTCGAGTTGAGACTTTATCTTGTCAGAGTTATGTGGAATTTATCCCTACATATTTCTGAGAGAAGCTTTATCAATGTAGTATATAGGTACACTCTAGCACCGTCCATTAAACACCTGCTGCTCTTTTTTTAAGACCATCCCTCTGTTTTCCAGGGTAATCACACCCGTTTAGCTCCAGTTTGGTGCTCTGGCGCAGGACCAGCTGCTCTCACACCAACGTGCATGGGAGGGAGGTTGTGCCGCAGCTCTGCATCAGGAACTGCATTCTGGAAACCAGCGCTCGCCTTTTTCAGGTTATTTCTTATGTTCTTGCTGGGATAACGCTGCTCTCAGATGTGGCTCTAAGCAGCAGTTTCCTTCCTTCTGTGTGCCAAACACAACCTGTTTTGGCATCACCATCACTGTCCAACTTTGCCTCAGGTCAGTTAAAACCACTACTTAATCACACAACACACGAATTCCTTTTCTGCCCCTTTGCTTCTTGCCCCTTCTCCAGGGGCTTCTCTACTTAAATAAAATCTTACTCTCCCCTGCTCCAACCTACATAGCGCGCAAACACTGCTAACACTAGGACTTTGTCATAAAAATCAATCCAATATATTAGTGTAAACACAAAGCAGCGACCCCTAGGCCGTTCCTTGACGCACCCCAGAGGGCTCAATGGGCCGGTGCTGCCCTGGAGGGACCGTGGTCTTACAGACCTGAGCGCTGCTCACCACGGCCTCGGGGACCACCAGGAGCCCGCGAGCCCCTGCACAAAACTGAGCGACGCAGAAGACGAAGAGAGTTGAAGGGACCAACAGCCTGTCACTGTGCTGCCACCCGCTCGATTCTGCCTCCTCGAGCAGCGTTCTGGACCCAGCAGTGCTGTTTGTCCTTGTAGACCCAGCAGCGCTGTTTGTCCTCGCGGACCCAGCAGTGCTGTTTGTCCTTGTAGACCCAGCAGCGCTGTTTGTCCTTGTAGACCCAGCAGCGCTGTTTGTCCTTGCAGACCCAGCAGTGCTGTTTGTCCTTGCGGATCCAGCAGTGCTGTTTGTCCTTGTAGACCCAGCAGTGCTGTTTGTCCTTG